ATTTCGGATAAAGGGTTGTCAACCTGTATATCTCTTGATGGTCACCCACCAGCGCCTCCTAACTAGATAATATAACCTAACAAATATCTCCATCATGCAAGTGTTTTATTTATTTATTTATTCTATTATTTACTCTTCCATTTCCTTTTTTGTTACTTTTTATGTCATTTTCCTGTTTGTTTTAAGTATTTACTTTTATTCTATGTCAGTCATTACTTCTTTGGGGCTTCTTCTTTTTTCTTTATTCGTCTGCTTGTTCTCTCTCTCTCTCTCTCTCTCTCTCTCTCTCTCTCTCTCTCTCTCTCTCTGACTGTCTGACTGTCTGACTGTTTCTGTCTATCCTCTCTCTCTCTCTCTCTCTCTCTGACTGTCTGACTGTCTCTCTCTCTTTCTCTCTCTCTGTGCGTCTGTCTGTGTCTGTCTGTCTCTCGCATATACACCCTAGACAGGAAAAGCTTAACGTCATTGCAACACACATCATCATTATCATCCGTTATTTTTTGTTCATGTTTCCTCACCTCCCGTTACGTCTGTTCTCCCACTTCCTCTGTCCCTTTGTTCACCATTTGTCTACTTCCTCTCTCAAGCTTCCCACAGTCGAGCAAAAGTTAGGTAATTTCTCAATACTATCAACATTATTTACCCTATTCTTTTATTTATTTTCCTGTAACATTTATCGTTTCTCCCATTTATATTTTATTTACTTATCGTCGTCTGCTTGTCTCTCATTAAAGCCCTAGGTCGAAGAAACGTCAATAGCGTAAATTAAGCATAACACAAGATTTGCCCAGCTAATTGATATTTTCACCTGCTGATTAATTACCCTACACTACCTGGGTTAGGTTGGGTTGGGTTAGGTTAAGTTTGGTTAAATCTAGCAATAACTATACTCAGTTTATAAATAGTAACAGTGACATATATCTACGACATTATAAATATATGTATAATTTGGCTTCTCTTTTTCCCCTGTTAAGGCACCTGCAAGAACAGACTAAGCTGGTTAAGAGCCTGAACCAACCACGAGGATAAAATTACAATTAGGCAGACATAGTTCCTTTAGTATTAAATAAACATATGAACTATCAAGTCATCCTAAGAGAACATTGGAACATTTGGTGATACTGTAACTTGTAAACAATGTCTCGGATCATCCTCTGTAAACTTATCGAACGTCTACTGACATACAGACCAATCTTTATGACCTTCTCTCCGGTCATCCTCTAGGTTCCACACAAACACTCGCCGGAAAGCCTGGACCATATGTGTGTGTGTGTGTTTGTGTGTATGTGTGTGTGTGTGTGTGTGTGTATGTGTGTGTGTGTGTGTGTGTGTGTGTGTGTGTGTGGGTGTGTGTGTGTGTGTGTGTGTGTTAGCAGAATGGTGGAACTGGGCCAAGACCGACTGGGAACGGCCTCGGGGATTATGGCCAAGGAAATATGGAAGATGAAGATGCGGCGGCGGCGGCCATGAGGCGCTCGCTACACTTGAGGCTATGTTGGCGCCTGGTGGTGATGGTGACGTTGGTGTTGGTGATGGTTGGTAGTGGTGATTATAATGGTGGTGGTGATGGTGGTATTGGGGTGGCGGTGATACTTCTGGTGGTGATGGTGTTTTGTTCTCCTGGTGGTGATGTTCTTGATGGTGTTGGTGGTAGTGATATTGGGGTGGTGATGGTGTTTTGTGCTCCTGGTGATGATGGTGGTGATGTTCTTGATGGTGTTGGTGGTAGTGATATTAGTAGTGGTAGTGATATTGGTGGTGGTGGTGGTGGTGGTGGTGATGGTGGTGATGGTGGTGGTGCCTTTGACGTACTGTAGATCTTGGTTCAAATATCCTCTCATTGTTTGTCTGTCTATTTGGTTATCTCAATATCTTTCTGTCTGTTTTCTTATCTTTCTCTATCATCTCTTATCTTATTCCAATATAGACAGTTCATTTAACATTTTTCGAATTATACCATAAATTACTAAGACTTCTTTTATTCATTTTTCATTCAACAATTTCCATTTATACCGAGAAAAAAAATCGCAACGTAAGACAAAATAATAATTTAACGATATTTACAGACATGAACGATAAGATACAGCGAAACAAACACGACACAATTTTAATACATTTAGCAGATTATTAAGTACAGGATTGAAATAAATTAGATAAATATAATGGAAACGTATCAATTCATTAACAGAAGTGTATAACAATAATGAAAATCAGTAAGATCTAAACTATAAGAATATAAATAATCTTAATACCTCCGTCAAGGTTAATTAACTCCGACAGGTATAATAACTCAGTAAATAGCAGCAACAAGTTTATAATTCCCCCAATTACCCACCAACAGGATAATTCAGCCGCACGTAACACCGTCTCCTCCAATACTGTGACTTTATGATGATACGAGTGATAATCATGAGTAATATTTGACAGTCATCATTCGTTAGTAGCACACACACACACACACACACACACACACATACACACACACATACACACATTTTCAAAAATAGATTTACAGACACTGAGAAAAGCCGGACTATATCTGGATCCTTCCTGGTGCACACATAAAACTTGTGTACGTAAGCCCTCCAGATGTAGGTCTCTAGGTGTAGGTCTCCAGATGTAGGTCTCCAGGTGTAGGTCTCCAGATGTAGGTCTCTAGGTGTAGG